GAAAAAATATTGTTACGAAAATTGATCTCGTGAAAATTTTAATTATAGAAAACATATTTGTTTAAATGCAAAAGACGTATCAAACATCCGAAAATTCTGGAAAAGTAAAGGAATTTTCAAGTGAAATTCCGGGAATTCCCGGAAAAAAATCATCTATGTAACGGGCTTTAAGCCCGTTCTCCATTCAGAACTTTTTGCGCTTTGGAGAAGCGGAAAAGTTCTTTGAGCATGCGCAAACAATTTTTTTAAACCCGTTCTCCAATCAGAATTTTTTGCGCATGCTCAAAGAACTCTTCCGTTCCTCCTAAGCGCAAATAGTTCTGAATGGAGAACAAGCTTAACTTAGAGGAAACATGTCGCTCAATATCGTATTTCCCGAAACTTGTAAAGAATTTCAAACAGCTCAGGAAAAATTTCAATAAATAAAAGTTTAATAAAAACTAAACTTTAAATTTTATTTAACTTGCGTATTTTGCTTTTTTGAAGAATCTTGAGTATTTCCTAAAATGAAGTTTCAGAAAATAACTTAATTGAATAATAAAAGATGAAATTTCTGAGGAATATTAGCTCTTTTTTGCATTTATTCATCTATCAGAGAGAGGACTGGAAAGCTGTAGATTCATCTCTTACAGATGCGTGGATTATTGGTTTACTGACCAAATGTACAATGCAGATGATTATCTGAAATTATGCAGAAGCTTGCACTGCCACAAAAAAGTTTTAAAATTAGGAAAAAAAGTTTTGGAATTAAGACTGGAAATTCCCAGAACAAATCAGTACACAGAATGAGCAATTAAGTGTCTTCAAGATCTTTTTTACATCAGTAGAAAAAAAGAGAACCTCCAGCTTGATTTATTTTGTCTAACAAAGCATATAAATTGTATATTACGCTTAAATTAAGCTGAATATTACACATCATTTTTATTATATATGTAAGTTTTTTATATTTGTAGAGCTTTCAAGTTTTTAATTTTATTTATTTGTAACATAGAGTGTTATAATGTAACAATAAACTGTTAAATGCCTAAAAATTATGTAATAACTTTCTAATTAAAAAAAATTATAATTAAAAATATTAATGATAAAAATGTCTGAAATTTTGTCTATACGTAAATATGGTAAATTCAAATTTTTTGTTTATGGTGACCTTGTTCAACAAGAAAATCAAATTATGGTTTTTTTCATTACTTTTATACAAATATATATATATATATATATATATATATATATATATATATATATATATATATATATATATATATATATATATATATATATATATATATATATATATATATTAATAAAGATCTGCATTTTTTGGTGTTTACTTAACATTAGTTGAATTACTAGTTTTATTAATAATTAGTTGAAAAACCTCATAGTAAGCAAAAACATGCATGCAGGATTATATTTGGTGCCCACAGAACTTTTCAATGTGAACCTCTTTTAAGGAAGCTCGGTGCCCTTAGTGTCTATAAACTTAATATACACCAAGTTCTACAATTCATGTTTAAAACTAAACATGAACTCTCTCCTATTGTATTTTAGTCTTACTTTAGTGAAATCTTGCATAAGTATCCTACTAAATTTTCAATTAATAACTTTATTGTTCCAAAAACTAAATTCTTACAAAATCCAATACCGCGGACCGTTTCTATGGAAACATTTTTCAAAATTTATCACAAAAAATAATGTTCAACACATCTCTTTGGAAAAATTTAGAAAAGAATCTAAGAATCTCTTATTACAAAAAGACTTTGATTTAAAATATTTCTTTTAAAAATAATACACAAATAATATAAATTATTTTAAAAAATAGTTACTTCTCTTTTGTTGCAATTTTAATCTAATTTAATTTTTTGTTGAAAAGTTTTAATACTTTTAAATTATTGTTAATCTTTGATATAATGCGTTATATTTCAACACTAATATTTATATTATGTTACTAGTTATATTGTAACTAACGTATTTAAAATTCTTGTTATGTACTTAGCTACTCTTCATTTTTTATATTAACTGACGATTTTTAGTGTAAATTTTATGATGGGGCTTGATGATAAGACAATTTATGTCTTCTGCTTGCTCCAGTTCTCTTATTAACACGATTTATTTCATTGTAAATTTTAATATATGACAAAACTCTTTGATTAAAAAAAAAAAAAAAAAAAAAAAAAAATCTTTTTACTAATTGTAAATATCCATGAAATATTTTTTCAGAATAAATATGATTGATGATATTGATAAAACTGATTCTAACTCGGAAACGGACAACGCCGCAACGGCAAAGTCGTCAATAGCGCTCAATCATGATACACCTAAAAAAAAAAAAACGAAGCGATTGAATCGATTTCAAACAAAGTGGGAGTCCTATTTCGATTAGTGTCTTCGAGTACCTGGAAATATGTTTGAAGCTAACTGCACCCTTTGTAGCCAAAATTTTAAATTGGACATGGCGGACGCAACGATTTGACTATTGATTCAAAGTCCGATCTCCACAAGGGACACGTGAATGCTGCTCGTTCTTTGTCAGTGCTCTCATACTTCGTGAAATCTAAACCTACCGGTATAGACAAACAGGTTATTTGCAACTCAGGGCTCAACTTAGGAGTCTCATCTCAGCGTCTCTCTAAAGTCAGCCTAGTCAGGTCACTTAAAAACTGTAAATAAAATAAAGTTCAATTAAATACTAAGTTATATCATTTTTTTTTTTTTATTAAATTAGTATCAATGTTATTAGTTTATTCAATTTGTTTGCATACTATATAGGCAGTTGCTGCTGAAATGGCAAGAGTTTACCACACTTTCAAGCATCACATGTCATGCAATGCAGCTGATTGTGGCTCAAAGCTGGATTCTTGACTCCGCTATATGCAAGAAAATGGGCTGTTTACGTACCTAAGGCTAAAGCTATTGTGAAGTGTGTTTTGGCTTTAAAGTCGATTGAGATGATTGTTGATGATCTCACCAGTAGCTACCCTTCCAAACCGACATGTTTTGCCGTGTCAATTGATGCATTAAATTTAAAAGACTGAAAGATGTTCCCGATTTGTATACAATATTTCAATATTGAATGTGGTGATAACAAAAAATTGACTGTGTTTGATGAGTAAAATGATGAGTGCTCAGTTGCTGTGGGTGAAATGACAAAACAGGTCTTAATAAAATTGACCTTGATGTCAAAAATGTTAGGGCGCATTTGGCTGACAATGCCATGTCAATTATGGCGCCTGACAATCAGTTTTCACTGAGTTAAAAGCACTGAACAAAAACATTGTGAAGGCCAACTGCATGTCACTTATAACGCTCTTAAAAAAATTGTTGACTTGCTCGATTGTGACGTGGAAACCCTTGTTACTGCAGTTTGTGGTCATTTTAGTTTTTCAGCCAACCGTAGAGTTGAGTTGCAAAAATATTTAACATTTTTGGATATGAAATTTTAGGAAATAATTAAACATGTAAGCGCGCGTTGGGTCTCTTTGGGTCCTGCTGTCGAACGCTTGTTGCAGTCATGACCAGCCATTGTTTTATATTTCAAATCACTTGGAGATAGTTCAGTAAGACTAAATCACTTTCAAATTACTTGGAGATTGTCCAGTTAGACTAAGAAAACTTCTCGGTCTTCAGGTCGACATTGTTAACGGTGATTTGCAACTGAAAGTCACTGAAATTTATTTATTTTTTTCGTCCAAAACATGTGTTGTGTCTTTGAAAAAAAAACTGTTCTTGTTCTGGAAAGAAATAATGAGTCTTTTTGCAAGCTGTATAATATTATGTAAGACTTACGAAAGAAGTTGAACGACAGGTTTCAAGATTTTTTGGGTTTAGCTCTCAGTGAGTTCTTAAGTCAGAGTTAATTCCCGCAGCTATGAAAAAGTCAATTGAGTCAAATTTATGTGCTGGTTTGCAGACAACTGTGACTTATTTAGAGCAGTGGTTTGATTTTTTATTTGAAGCAGTTGCGTGTGTTTTGCTGCCATTCTCATTACTGCTTGTGGTGTCCTCGGTCTAACTTCAAGTATAGGCGTGGACATGATGTAGGATGAATTTTCATCAGCAAAGTCAGGATTAGAAAACGTTATTGCGGATGATAAAAGTGACAGTGATGCTGTAAAATGGATAACATTTTTTGTTAGTTATGGTGAAAAACATAATCCAGTAAATTTACTAAAAATTGTTTCCTATCTGTTGTCTATCCCAGCAAGTAATGCATTTTGTGAAAATATCTTCTCGCTCGTGAATACCAAGTGGAGGTCGGGAAGAAATAGAGCGAATGTTTAACTTGTGAGCGCAGAGCTCCAAGTTTCAGTGAATTTTTCTAAATCGTGTACTGAGTTCTATGACTTTGTTTAAGTACTTAGAAAGTACTTGATGCGGCTGCCATAAGCCAGAAATACAATTACGTAACGAAGAAGAAAAAGTTATAGTATATTAAATATAAATATATTTATATATTTATTAATATTAATATAGTAATAGTATATTAAATAAAAATATATAGTATCGTAGACAAAATTTTTTTCGGGCTTTTGTCCTCCGTTATAATGTCCCAGGCTGACAAATAGAATATTTGGCAACCCTATTGGATGATCTCAGGTGAAAAATTGCGTGGCCTCGCAAGGCTTCGCACATTAAGCATGAAATTTCGCTAACTCTCAATAATATTATTTCAACTAAAATTTTATCTTACTGTCGTTGAATCTTTTTTAATTAACTGTGGCGAGTCAGGGATCTTTGCTAACGCTATATTGAGCGCGAAAAAACAAAAACAAAACATTATTTTGAAAAATTATTTAAGCTCAATGAATGGAACAGGTAAAAATGGCGGACGCAATAACATAAAACAGTTTACGTAAATGCTTACGGAGATAATTTAGATTTGTTATCTCATTTATTTAAACATTATTTTTTTCTTTTTTTTTTACAATTTTTTTTTTAATACTTCTAAAAGTGCTATTTTATCATTGTTTAATATTACTAAAAAAAACTAAATATTTTTATTTTTAAACTTACACAATTTTAATATTGTTTTGAATTGTTCTACCTAATGAACAAAACAGGTACCGAGTTTTTCAAATATTACAAAAATATATAATGGTTGATACACGTGAGACTATATACAACAACTAATGCGAATATTCTCGTAGACTTTATTTAGTGTTTTATTTTTGCTAAATTTTTACAAGATATGCCTCATCTTTTGTTTCAATTTCGTCGTAATGATACAAATAACGAGTATCCAACAGCAGAGTTGTTAGAAAAACTGCTTCAGCAACACAGTTTATGTTTTGACAGAATTGTAAAAGAAGACAACGATTCTGTGAGCGTAAATTTTAAAAGTCCTGAGGATGCAAAGACTGCATACAAAACATTTGACGGTAATTTCTTTTATAATATCTTAGTTTTAGTTTTTATCTTGAAATATTATTTATGATTTGGTTCAATATTACTAAAAAGTTAAGATTTCATAAAATGTTTATCAGATTTATCATTAAAGAAACAATTTTATCAAACAATGTACCGATTATGTTCATTTAAATAATTTGGTTAAATGTATAAATACCAATTTTGGTATACTTTTATCTATAAAAACTCATCAGATTTCCGATGAGTCTTGTTACAATTATTATTATTATTATTATTATTGCTATTATTATTATTATTATTATTATTATTATTATTATTATTATTATTATTATTATTATTGTAATATATATTATAATGTAATATTCTGCAATCAAAATACAATCAAAAAATCAAAATACAATTTAAATTTAAAAGTCTGTCTTGCAAATTTTAGCAGATGCCACTTGGGCAGTTATGAACTTGTCAAATCAATTCTTGAATTTGTTTACGCTTTTTGAATCAATCACTTACAATGATAGCTTTTTCCATAAGGTTGTAATCCTGTTTGTAAGGAAGTTATATCTTGTTTGGTTTCTTGAGAATAGCCTTGACAATCTTGATTTAGACCCTCTAACATTGGTTGGAGGTCCTGCAGTGCTGATCAGGAATGTGATAAGGTATTGTTATGATACCAATTAACTTCATTGAATTCCTTGACTGTTTTAAAATATTGTATCAAGTCCCCTTTTTTCCTTTTCTGTTCTAGAGTTTGCAGATTGAAATAAAGTTAGACGTTTCTTGTAAGTTTCTTATTGCTGATATAAACTTGGTTGCTCTTTTTTGAACAACTTCTAAAGCCTTTGTCTTTTTTTTTGAAAAAAACTAAACAGATGCACAGTATTCTAAAAGAGCTTGAACAAAAACTGTATACAATCTAGCAAATATAGGTCAGTTTGAATGTTCGCTTAATTATACCTAGGATTATATTTGCTTTATTTATCACATGTTTGATGTGGTGATTTATTTTAATTTATAAAATAAAACCAAGGTTTCACTCAGTTTTTGTTGTTTCAAGATTTAAAATAGCTCGAGTATCATCTTTCATAGTACAATAGAAAATTATCTAGATTTTTGCTAGGTTTTTTCACCAAATTTTATGACAGCCATCATCAGGTCTTTACCATATATATCGAGTTTGCGTTTAGCTATGCTGACCAGGTTTTTCTAAAAGAAAAAGATTATTTCTTTCCCAAATACATATTATAAACCAAAAAATATCATGTTTAAATGTTCAGTCATATATCTTAACAAGTTTTAATAAAGTAATCAAAAATCTCATCATTAATGAATGGAACAGGTAATGGTTTAGTTTCATTCAGAACATATATTTACAGTCCTTGTTATAAGGTTTTGTTGCACAACAAAAAAATGTAACGCAAGTAAATGTAGCTTTTATTAGTAAACATATTTGCATTATTAAAAGTTAAATTATGTCAGTTGCGTATTTACTACATAAATAAATTTAATTTGAAACCACATTAAAAATTTTAAGTCTTTATCTTTATAAAATATTTATAAAATATTTTTAAATCAAACTTTGTTTATTTAAAATAAACATTGTTATAAAAAAATTTGTCAATAAAATTTAAGTATGTTGTTTGAAAAATATATAAATTCCCTTATTTTAAAAAGTTATAAATTATAGTTATTTAAATTAAAAATTTAAATTTATACTATATATTTCTGAAAGAATTCGTCTTATTTTTGCTTTCTAATAATTGAGTTGTTTTTTTTAAAATGAGAATACAATTGTTTATGGTTGAATAGTATAATAAAATTTTAACAGTCAAAAAAAAAACTTTCAACATTTTTTTTTTTTAATTTTGGTTTTAACAAAATCTTTGTATACTACTCATAAACTAGTTAATCATTTCTAATCTACGTTTCTTCTATAATCAATCTAAAAAATTTATGATAAAAAAGTTTTTTTTTGTTAAAAAGCAATTTCAAAACTAAATAATATTTTCATAAATTTGTTATGTAAAGTTTACTAAATAAGTCCTCTAAAAATTTTTTGCCTACAGACTTGTTTATGGTTTATCTGGCAATGCATTTATATACAGTATAACAATATGATAAGCATTAACAACTTTAGTGTTTTAGGACATTTGTAAGTAGATAAGAAATTTATTGATTTGAAGCTAAAATAAATAAACAAAATAATTAAGTGTAAAACAAACATAAAAAGTAAATTAAATAAAATTCAATAAAAATAGTTTTTTTTTTGTTAAGATTTTTAAAGAGATTTTGTTAAGCGTTTTAAATTTTTAAAAATTAAATTTAATAAAATAAACTTAGGTTTATTTTATTATTATTATTAGGTTTAGTTTATTTAATAATAAATTTAATGTAGATATTATAAAATAAATTTAAATTTAGTTAAATTTTTACAAACGAAAAAATTAATTTAACTATCTGTTTTTTTTTTGTTTTTTTTTTAATCTAAAAAAATAATTATTTCACAATTACGGCGAAATGTTCTTTACATCAATTAATTACCTAATGTTTTCAGCATAATCTGTTTTAAAAAACTGTTTGGTCATTATAAGACTGGTGTGTGCGATTTTAAATGTTCATTGTTTATTCCCTATTTAAATTTGAAAAAAAAAGCGATGATCTAACGTTTTATTTAAATTCTAAATAAGATAATTTAAAAAAAACCAACAACAAAAAAAAGTTTTATTCAAATTCTAAATAAAATGATTAAAATAAAAACAATAAAGAGGAATGTTTAACATAAATTCAAAAAAAAAATTAGTTCCAATTTAAGAGCCTTCTCAGGAAGGTGTGATCGATACGATCGCATGCCATTGTATGGCGTGCAATCAAGTGATAATGGTCAAATCATCAAAACAAAGTTATTGTTAACAAATAATAATATTGTTTTGATGATTTGACCATGGTTGTTTTTAGAATTTAAACATTTTGAAAAAAACCAGTTTAAAAAAAAAAAAAAGTGAAAAAACCATTAAGTCTATTTTTTATGACTAAGAAAAGAACTTAGAATCTAGACTTAACTAAAAAAAACTTCATTTGAAAAAAGGTAATGTTAAACAAATTTAAAATAAAAAGAACTTGTCTAAAACTAAAACACAAAAAATAAAATTGAACACAACTAAAAAAACACACACACACACACAAAAATGTTTTTAATCACATTTGGAATAATAAACTTAGAATCTTTTATCTTCACTCACTTTTCATAACATTTTGGGAAACCATTTTAAATTAGTAAGTAAAAATTAGTCAAGTAGAAACTTAATTTTTATGATTGTTTAATAAATATCAGTTTATTTTATATTGTTATTTTTTTAGTTGTTTAAAAATTCTAAGTTTGTATATAAACACACGCTAGTTAACAATTATGCATTAAAAAAAAAAGAATGCTTTCATTTGTTTCCTTTTTTTCTTCTTGTTTTTGATTTTTTTTAAAAAAAGATTAACATTTATCATAAAAAATACACAAATATATATAAATAAAAAAAATATCTTTATATAATATTCAATACTTTAAAAATGATCAGCAGTGATTTTAAAAACATTTTTTTTTTAATTGTAAATTAAAAAATTCGTTTAGTTGTAACAACATTCAAAACATTTGTCACTTTAAATGATTTTTTTACATAATTTCTTTAAAGAGACTATCATTTTCTAAAAAAGTTGATAAAATTTAAATTTAAAAAAAAAGTATATATATATATATATATATATATATATATATATATATATATATATATATATAATATATATATATATAGCTTTCTTTGATACTTTAAACAAAAATTATTAACAGTGATTGGTTACTTTATTTAAAAGTGTTTCGCTTATATAAAAATGATTAATAACGATTAAAGTTTCAATGTTATTTATTTTTAACATAATAATTCTAACTAATATAATATAAAATATAATTTAAAATCTTTATTATTCAGTTCCTATTTAAAATGTAGATAGTTGTGGTCAAATTGTCAATGCAAATTTATTATTTGCCTGGTCATATAAATGCATGCAATCGCATGCCTTTCTGTGAAGGCCTGATTTAAACAAGTTACTTGTATACTTGCCAAATGGATAAGATTGACTCTACTTAATAAATCTCCTGCTTCAAGAATATAAAAAAGATTACCTCCCATAAATGGTAAAGAAATGCATTTAAGTCTATTATCAACAACAAAAACAAATGTATTTGAGGTTGGAGAAAATCAACAAAGTTTGTGTTTCAATCCATCACTTGCAACAAAACAAAGTTTGTTTATTGCAAAATCTTTTTTAACAAACTTTCAGACCAATTTAAAATTACATTGTTGATTAGACACTCTGACTTATTATTCATCTTATAGTCACAGGATTTTCCTAATAAGTTGGATGGGCAGTGTATAACCCTGAAAGAATAATCTTGTTTTATGTTGTAGTATGACCATATAAGTTCAATGACTATAAGTTTTGCATCATTATTTGTTAAATACTTCAGGCAAAAAAAGTTTCTAAACTTATTTTTGATGTATTTTTGTAAGCGGTTGTTGAACATTATTGCATTTGCCTCTATTAATTATGCCAATTTATCTTTCTTCTAACATATTTAAAAATTTGCAATTCATTCGCAAGTTTTAGATTTATTGTATCAACGCTTGAAGCAGTTTTTATATATAAATATATAAACTCGAAATAATGGTCGATCATTGATTGGCTGTTATTTTGAGCGCTGTTGTATAGCCAAAATCAACATATAAAACAAAACCTTTTGAAAAGATCAAACAATTTTGTTAAAAGCTAAACAATTTCATATTTTAGCACCTTTTCAATTACTTTTTATAGTCATTTTTCAAAAATAAAGTTTTATACATGACAACAACAACAATATATTTTCCAGAAGTTTGAAAAAAATACATCTATATAAATCCGAAATAAAAGAAAAAAAAAGAATTATAGTAAACAACAAATAAAAGAAAACAAGAGCAAGTAAAAATAAGATAAATATATAACTCTTATGAAAAAAAGGAATTTTTTAAATTTTAATTATATGCTCTGCAGTTTTATACCCTTAATTAATAGAAAGTAATAAAAATAGTTTCAGTTTATATTAATATCATATTTACATTAATATCAACATACAAACTTAAAAAAAGAAATTTTAATTTTTTTTTAAGCGCATTTTTATTTAAAGCACAGAATGAAATAAGGAGCAATCAATTTTTCTAAAAGTTCTACTCCTTAATGGCAGAGTTTATTAATGAAAATTCACCATAGATGTTAGTGTTTTAGGTTTTATAAATAAGGAAATTTATTAACAGTAATAAACCAGTCTTTATATAAAGATTTTGATTTAAATGTGATTTAAATGTGATTAAAAAGATAGCTTTCAATTTTTATGAAATCCGAAAATTTAATGATTTTAAGTTCATTAAATACTGGCTAATTAGTGAATTAACAGGGAGAAAATTTGTTATTTAAATATCTTTTTTTTTGAATAATTAAAAGTCCTTGAATTTGCATTGGGTTTTGGCTTGAGGATAGACAGTTATATGCAAAGTAGGAGTGAAATAAAGTGACATAATGTCAAAATTTAGATACAATGATTTCTCTATTTAACTTTAATTTTAAATTCTTAATATGTAATTATGTTCCGAGCCAGATTGTCATATATTTTTATGCCAAGATAATTTACAATTTCTTTTGTGAAAAGTAGTTTTTCCATTTAATTTAATATCTTTGATTGGTAAATTTATACTTTTTCTGTTTTCTAAAAATAACTAGTTCTGTCTTATTTAACATAAGGAGCCATCCATTAAGGATGTCTTGCTAATAGGGAAAGGGGGGAAGGGGTCAAGATGAAAAGGATAAAAAAAAGGCAAGAGGAGGAAGGGTGTCATCTGAAATAGACGTCATGTATAGAATTTATTTTAGTTTTTATAACATTAAATAAAAAAACATGTTTTTAAAAAGTCAATGTTAGGGAATGTAATGTTTTTACTTATTGTAATTAAAGTAAAATTTTTTTGTTGATATTTGTTTAAATTTTATGTATATATATATATATATATATATATATATATATATATATATATATATATATATATATATATATATATATATATATATCAGGCCTTGTTACGAGATTTCGCTGCGTAAGAGAAAAGCTGAACGTGAATAAATGTAACTTTACT